GGGGCCGGCCGCGCGGCGCGAGGAGTGGCCGACACGCTTCGGGCGCTGGCGGCTGGCAGTCAGGCAGGCGGGGGTCGATCTCGATCTGGAGGGCGGCGGCGCACAGCTGGTCGCGGCCCTGGGCATTCCCGCGGACGGCGGCGCGCTGGTGCGGCCGGACGGCGTTGTAGCTGCGAGCGGGGGCCCGGGCGCCGCAGAGGAGTGGCTCGCGCGGCACGTCGGCGGCACCGGGGCTAGCGCAAAGGCTGCGTGAGGGCTGTGAGTCAGCGGGTGCAAGCGCTGCATGGCAGCGTCCAGAGCTGCGTGCCTATTGGGTCGGCAAGCTGTGTGTTGCAGAAGGGTTTTGCTCTTTTCAAACGTCTGCTTCCTGTGCTGCCTCTTGCAGAGGGTTTTCGCGCACTGAAACATGCAGCAAGCCCTTGTACTGTACCAAGCTGTATGTGAATGACAGCAGGATAGCTGACATCTGAGAGGGCGCGTCGTGCGTCCAGATTGACTGTATTGTACTGGCACTGACAATCTCGGCCGCATGTGCACACCACACCAGGAGTGCAGCTCGCGTGTACTGCTCGCGGGCTGCAGCTGTTCCCATCTTCCCTTGATGCACCTGCTTCGACACTGTGAAGTGTTTGATATACACTCAGATTGCTGGGGATTTGTAACACCCTAGGACACGCAACTGGCAATAAGAAAGCAACACCCCGCAAATTTAGCTTGGTGATTGGCTATTCACAATTCAAGCGGCTGCCTGCGCAGCAGTGCCAACTCACAGCCACCATGTACGCAACCACAACATGTAAGATCAAAAGCTTCGCGCCCCACAGCACAGGTCCTTCTTCAAACCCGCTCCCCAATGGAGTGATGGCCCGGCATCACCACGCCCGCCACTCCTCCGGCCCCCGCGGCCGCGCCAGCGCCGCCACGTCAGCGAGCACGCAGCGCGCCGCGCAGTCCCCGCACACCAGGCGCTGCTTGAAGCCCAGCGCCCCCTCGTTCGCCACGGCCACGTCCAGCGCGCGGCCCTCCGCCGCCTTGAAGCCCCCGCGGCAGGCGCCGCATGTGAAAGTGTGGTCCAGGGGGTCGCGCTGGGCGCCGGGCGCGCCGCCCTCGGCGAAATCGCGCTCCATCGCCTCGCGCAGCTGCAGCTGCGAGCGGACCTGCGGCGCGGGCGGACGCGTCCGGCGGGGGTCCAGGGGTCGGGAGGGGTTGCTAGAAGGAAAGGGAGGGCGAGGGACGACGCAGGGGGCCGCGCAGCTGCAGAGGGAGCACGCCCGTGCAGCGGTCGAGGCTGCGTGTGTACGCACCTCCAGGGCGAGGCCCGATTTTCGTCCGCACGCCGCCCTGATCGCCTTGGACAGGTTGTCAGACAAAATCAGGCCCGCCTGGGGGAAGGGAGGAGGCGGCGGTCCAGCAATAACGTGTGTGTGTGAGTGTATGTGTGCGCGCGCGCGCGTGTGTGTGTGTGTGTGTGTGTGTGTGTGTGCGCGCGCGCGTGCGTGCGTGCGCGTCTGTGTGTGTGTGTCCAAATCAGTGTGCGTGCGTGCATTTTTGTCCATGTGTGCATGCGTGCGTCCATGTGTGTGTGAGAGAGGACAAGCGCTTACACGCGTGTAATGCGCGTGTCTGCGATGCTACATAGGGGCGCACGTGAACGACACAGCGGCCCAAAGCCTCGGGTCACAACAGGGCGACGCCGAAAACGCAGCGCCCCTCAGCTCTCATGGCCTCGGCACTCTTGCCGGAAGCTCCCCTGCAAGCACATCCGCTGCGTCCCCAATGCACTTGGCCCCTCACATCACCCCGCCTCACCTGTGCGCGGCTGGCCGACACGTAAACCAGGTTCAGCTCGTCATCGTGGCCACCAGCAGACCGGTTAGGGGCCTGTCAGGGTGAGAAACAGAGTGTGTGGGGCAACACCCAGGGTGTGTGTGTGTGTGTGTGTGTGTGTGTGTGTGTGTGTGTGTGTGTGTGGGTATGTGTGTAGAAACTGCCACAAGGGAAGGGGATGATTGCTCAGCCATATCAGCCACTGCAGGCGTGATTGCGTGTGCAGCGTCGCCGCACCACGCGTCCGTCAAAAGGGCAGCGCGGCACCAATGCTCACCAAAGCGCGGCGCCGCCATCCACAGAGGGCACGCTCGACTTCAAGCACCGCGTGCTCTCCCCCCCCCCCACACCCTTTGCCCTCACCCTGACGCCTGGAGGGGGCAGCTGGGCAAAGTCCTCCGCCAGCTGTACCCAGCCCTCCTCCAGGCCCTTCATCTTGTGGGCCGTCGACAGGATGTAGCGCGCCTCCTCGCGGGACGGCACCTGCGGCGCGGTGGGCGATGCATGTAGATAGGGCACGCGCCTCGACATACACCGCATGTGTGGCCAATACAGCGCTCTTCTGCGCGACGCGTGCGCTCAATACAGGTATGGAGCCGTGAGCCGCAAATGAATCTATTCAGGCACGTGGGCGCAGCCGCCCCGCGCCCGTCCTCCAGGAGAGGTGTGCGACACCCTCGCACCCGCCGGCCCCGCCCCTGTCGCACACAGGGTGCGCTCTGCTTTGGAAATTCACACCCCGCTCACCCGTGCGGCCCAGACGTCGTCGATGAGCCCGAGCAGGTCCTTGCCATACAGGTCAACCAGCCCCACAGCCGCGCGGATCTCGGGCTCCAGGGCCACGTTGCTCTGCACAGCGGCGGTTGCAATCAGTTACCCGACGCCCCTCAACCGGCCAGCTACATGGATATCACGGCACGCATAGTGCATGTAATGACAGCTCCCATTCGCAGCTGCGGCTGGTGGACTGTGGTGCTGCGGCGGGCGGCACAGGGCGCGCTCGCGCTGCACTTCGCCCCCCCACCCCAGACCAACTACGCACTGTGGGGCGCTGACGGGCGCACCTGGATCTCGACCCATGACTGGTACCTCCCAAACCGGCTGCCATCGCGGTTGCCGAACTTGAAGTCCCACCTGTATACAACACAGGGACGGCAGCGCAGGTCTGGCTGGTGCAGCGAGGGCACGTGTGTCCGTGCGAGAGAGAGCGTCCGCCGGCAGGAAGAGAAGCAGCTGAGCGGACCAGCCCCAATTCCTTCAGCCCCGCAGCTCCCTTGCCGCGTGAGCTCCCAGGCCGGAGGGGATCCGCCGACCGCCGGTCAGATTTAGCCGGGGACCCCCAGCTGCACTCACAGCTCGCCGACCCTCTGAAATAGGTCGACCCCGGGGTAGATGGCCCTCCAATCAGCCCTCCTCCCACCAGGCGCCGCCACCGCCGCCTTGCCGCGCCCCTCGAACCCCCCGCCGCGGCCGCCGCCGCCGCCGCCCCATCCGTCCCCAGGCGGCGCCGCGGCGGCGAGGAACAGCGTGGGCGGCTCCTCCCCGGCCGCGCGCGCGGCGGCCATGAGCGCCACGGCGATCTTGAACCAGGTGGCGTTGTACCTACAGATGATGAGCAGCGGCGGCGGCGGCGCGCCCCCCGGCCCCGCCGGCAGGCGCGCCACAGGCTGCGGGGCGGCCTCTAGATCAGGTCTTTGCGGCGATGTGGGCAGCTTCAGCACCAGCGCCGTCAGCCGCGGCGGCGCGTGCGGCGCCGCCGCATCGCCACCCAGGGCCGCAGGCGGCGCGAGGGGACCGGCGTCGCCCGCCCCCGCCTCGGGCGCCGCCGCGGCGCCGTCGCCGTCGCCGTCGCCGCCGTCGCCGCATGGCTCGCTGAGGGCCCCCGTCAGGTCTGCACGCCTGTATGCATCCTGGACCACCTCCGCTGCCGGCGGTGCCCGCGGCCTGACTAGCGCCAGCAGCGCGGCCAGCGCCGCCGGCGCGGCCAGCGCCGGCGGCGCGGCAAATGCCACGCCTTCCGCGGCCGCCGCGGCCTGCAGCTGCAGGACGGCCGCGGCCTCCGCTTCCAGCACCCCCACGCCCGCCGCCGCGGCCGCGGCCGCCGCCCCTTCGGGCTCCCCTTGCGGGCCGGCCTGAGGCCCCTCGCCGGCCGCTCCTGGCTGTCCGCCCTGCTCGGCGGGCGCCGCCCCATGCCCGTGGGGCGCCGCTGCCGGCAGGATGCGATCCAGTGGCCCCTTCAGGACATACACCGTGGCGTGCGGGTTGCCGAGCCCCACGATGCGGCGCTTCTCCGCGTAGGAGCGGTGCAGGACCCTGCCGGGTCGCAGCCGGCGCGTGGCCGCGGCCGCGGCAGAGAAGCAGGCGGGGCGGGGGAGGGGCGTCGCGTCGGCGGGCGCGTCGCATCCGGAAGTCTAGAAGCCACTGGACCGGCCCGGGGCTCCTCAGACTCAGAAGACCCTGCAGCATTGTTTATCAGTACAAAGGCACGTGCGGCATCCCCGCCCTGCCGACGCGCGCTGCTGCACAGGCCCCCTCTCGCCGCCGCCCTCACGTGTTTGCGACCGCCGTCACCTCCGGCCCCATGCGGAACGACGCGCTGAGGGTGAGGGTGCGGCCCAGGGCGGAGCCGTACATGGCCTCCTCTGTCCAGTGGGCGTCACCCAGGGCGTTGCCGGCGCCATTGAAGGAGTAGATGTGCTGCGCGTGTGTGCGTGTGTGTGTGTGTGTGTGTGTGTGTGTGTGTGTGTGTGTGTGTGTGTGTGAGCGCGCGCTGCGTGTGCG